GGTCTTGCTCCCTGTCTCCTGTACAATGTCAAAAACCTCTGTCCATAGTTCATCAGGCACTCTGTCTATCAGATCTAGTCCCTTGAATCTATTTGTACTTCCACTGTATAATTGTAAGGGAATTGATTTAGGTCATACCTGAGTGGTCTAGTGGTTTTCCCTACTTTCATCACGTGCTTCTATAACTCGAGAGCCAATGTCTCCTCCGTCTGGAACTATGATGAGGTTCTACGAGCCATCACCTGCTACTTGCAGAGCTGTCAGCCTATGAGAGAGGTGCTTTTTCTTACAAAACAGTGGAACCACACCTGTGAGCTGCAACCAGTGAAGCCAGGCTCCTGGGCATGCAAGCTGGTCCTAGGACGTTCTCCAGAAGCTCAGAAACTGACCGCAATGGATGTTATGAAACTGATGGTGATGTGGTACGAAGGCGGGGAGTGGAGAATGATGACCCAGGATATCAAGCCCATCGGTTACATTCATCTGATTCTGCCCTACTCCCTCCAAGTCATCCACATAGAGACCCATAGGTGAAACATAACCTGGACCATCTCTCGGGTTACTACATTCAGAACGACGTGGAATACAGGGTTCGGTTAAGGTGCACGGATCACAGCTGGGAGGACGCCCTGCTGCTGACGCTCAGGCAGAACCAGCAATGGATCTCCCTGGAGAATCTTGCTCCAGACACAAAATATGAGTTTCAGGTGCAGGCCAAGCCCCAGCTAGGCAGCCATGAGTTTTGGAGCCACTTGAGCCAGCCCCTGGCCTTCAGCACAGTCCCTCCAGTTGCTCTGAGACATGTGGGATCTTACAGGACTAGAGACTGAACTCGCATCTCCTCCATCTGCAGGTGGATTCTCCACCTCTGAGCCACCAGGGAAGCCCCTTCCTATGGAATTTACGTTGCTATTGCATTTACTGTCTCTGCCCACCCATTGCTATTGTCTCCCCCATCCCTGCTCCCAGCAGACTGGAAGCTCTATACTGTTATCGTCCAGGAAGATAGAAGAGAGCTGCTACATAGTAGGTACTCAATAAAAATTTGTTGATTGAATGAAAAAAAAAAACCTGAAAAAGTAAACTTTGGATATTCACTACTTTTCAAAGAAAATAAAAGCATGCATGTCTCTTTTGCTTTTATTCTCATCAAGTGTTCGTAAGAGAAGGCATAGTCAGTTTTGAAGGGCTATTCAATTTCAGATGAGACATAACTGTAATATTGTCATGTTGAGGGAAGAAAGAAACCTTGGTCGTTGTATCTGGTCAGATGGAATAGGGTTTCTCTTTTAACACTTTTGGGGATCAGCTAACTATGCCAAAACCCAATTTTGGGGATTAGTATTTTAATGTAATTTCCCCCAAACGTGAAAAATGTCATTTTTGTGAATGACAGAAAAGGAAAACATGAAAAATAGTCATGAACGAACCAACACATTCACTAGGAAGGCCGGATCCCTATACACCTTAGTTCACACCCAAAGGATAAAGGTAAAATGGTAAAGTAGAAAGTTGTCATTCCCTACTAATTAAGGCAATTAGCCTTAAATAGTATCAAATACAAAATCGTATCAAAAAGGTTTAAGAGCTACTTTCTTGATTTTGGTCTCTTACACAATGCAGTCTGTCAAGGGTAAAGAGCTACAGACATCTATCCTTCATTATAGGAGCCTTTAGGAAGGCAGGATTTTGGTGTAACTACTCTTCAAGATAATTTTCAGTTCATCTAGGTAACATGCAACATTTGTATTAGAGGAAAAAAATCTGTATTAAGTGGCATCACATTAGAACTTTTCTTTGTCTTCTTTGTTGCATCTTAAAGTTAAACGTTAGGAACCAGGCATACTACACCTGAGATGTTTAAGAACGTGCCCTCAGTGAACTAGCGACTCCCTGAAAACCTGAAACAGGTCCAGATCTCCTGTTTCACTAACTAAGAGATACCTTATTTTATGTGTCTTGGCCCATAAATCTAAAGTGTAGGTTGTCAATTACAATTTTTATAGTTTTCCACCATTCAGAGCACTCACCAACACTCTATGTGCAGATCTAGGGGGAAAAAAAGAACAACTAGATGGTTGGCCACATTCAAAAAGGCTTAAAAACCAGGTCCTTAGTTTGAATTATGCTAGAGAATATTTCTTAATGAGTGTTTGCTTCTATTGCTGTTATTCGGTAATTTTGTTTTTTATTTTTATTCAAGTATAGTTGATTTACTACTTGTGATTTGTTACTTGTGTTAATTTCTGCTGTACAGTAAAATGATTCAGTTATACATATATATATATTTTTAATATTCTTTCCAATATGTTTATCATAGGACATTGAATATAGTTCTCTGTGCTGTATATAGCAGGACTTTGTTGTTTATCCATTCTATATATAAGAGTTGACATCTGCTTACCCCCATCGCCCACTGTCCCCTCACCAATCTCTATCCTCCCTCCCCACTGGCAGCCACTAGTCTGTTCTCTATATCCATGATTCTGTTTCATAGATAGACTCACTTGCATAATACTTTAGATTTCACAACCTAAAAGTGATTAAGTGGTATTATTCCCTTGGACTGCAAGGAGATCCAATCAGTCCATCCTAAAGGAGATCAGTCATGAGTGTTCATTGGAAGGACTGATGTTGAAGCTGAAACTCCAGTACTTTGGCCACCTCATGCGAAGAGCTGACTCATTTGAAAAGACCCTGATTCTGGGAAAGATTGAGGGCAGGAGGAGAAGGGGACGACAGAAGATGAGATGGTTGGATGGCATCACTGACTCAATGGAGATGAGTTTGAGTAAACTCCGGGAGTTGGTGATGGACAGGGAGGCCTGGCGTGCTGTGGTCCATGGGGTTGTGAAGAGCTGGACACAACTGAGTAACTGAACTGATATTATTTGGTATTTGTCTTTCTCTTCCTGACTTACTGTGCTTAGTATGATAATCTCTAGCTGCTGCAAATGGCATTATTTTTTCTTGTTTATGGCTAAATAGTATCCCACTGTGTGTGTGTGTGTGTGTGTGTGTGTGTATCACATCTTCTTTACCCATTCATCTGTTGGTAGACATTATATTCTTTGATAGATTTTAAATATCAGATGTGAACCCTAAATAAAAAGAATACCACAGTACTTCCATTTTCTTATGCATTTCAGTTTTAACATTAAAGTATAAAAGAAATGTCAATTCATTCTCTTGGATAATAATGTGATTTTATTGTGTGTAGACTTTTCCATACCAAATATTAGTTTTTCCACATGAAATAAGTTAAGATTTAAAATGATAAAAGTTATTGTTGTTAATGAGACACACTGGGCAATAGAAAAAGCTGAAGAGAGTTTTTGCCTGAAACTGGAAAACAGAACAGTCTGGGGAAAAAAAGATATGAAAAAAGTACCATACGTTGCTAAGATCAAAAAAAAAAAAAAAAAAAAGAACCAAAACAAAACAAAAACACCAGCTTTAAGGACCGGAGATGATGACACGGGATGAATATGGGGGCGAGAGGGCCAGGCAATTGTCTCAGAAGGGAGGGTGGGATTTCCTGTGATGTTTAGGGTATTTTGCTTGACAATAATAATCTGAATTTTCTTCTGTGTCACTACAGCTCTTGATTTTCCTGCTGTCTGTAATTTGACTATGAAGCATAATATCTTTTTATTTAGCACAAAGTCCATTTGGATTAGAGAATGGAAAGGTTCTAATTTTGTTCCTGGCCAGCAAAGTCATACCTCAGTACACGCTGGGAAACAATTAGAAGTCCTATGCAGAATGCATACACTCCAAGTTAGTTTTTAATTGAAAAAAATTTTTATTATCCTATTTTGGTTTCCTCATTGAGTAGACTCCTAGAGGAAAAGTAAGTACGTAAGTTTCCTGGTTTGCAGAATTGGAATTTAGGCCCACAGTAAAGAGAGCTAAAGAGCTCCAAAGGCTCACTTAAAATCACCAGATAAAACAAGCCGTGGAGGAGCCTCCTCCCCATGGCTGAGTTGAAGTACACGTAACACTGGGAGCGGCCGTCCTCACAGACTCCTGTGCAGAATCCACTCATTTCCTGGGGTTTCTGGACTTTTTATGCTTCAGTTCTGCTCTCTTCCTGCAGCACTTGAGATAGGTCTTTGTGACAATCTACCTGCCACTTCAGGTGAGGAGCCCAGTAAAGCAGGCAAAGACCTTGCTGTTTCTTAGAAACCCAAGAAGAGAAAAATAATCTTAGATCTGCTTTACTGTTCTAATTGGTAAACATGACAATCTTATATGCTGAAGTGGAAATGAACCTCTAAGCCAAGATCTCAAATTCTCTAACATGAGATATTAAAACTCATAGTATACATTAGGCCATTTCAGCTAAAACTCATTTTTTGGTACTCTCTGACTAGACATCAGACAGCAAAGACTAAACCAATTGGAGGAACATTAATCAAGTGTGGCAGAAAGTTGGAAATCATAAGGCCTGAAATACAAAGATACATGTATTACTGAGGCATAGTCCCCTGGCCCAGAGGTATGCAGGCAAAGAGGTCACACTTTACTGGAAGACAGAAAGTTAAAGTGGATGCAAAGCTCTGAGAAAATATTTATCAGAGGAATGTGATGATTCATTTATCAGCCGAGAAATCCCAAGTACAAAACTTTGAGATATAAGAAGGATCAAAGTAGATAATGTATATGATTCAATTAAAAAATTCTTAGCCCTCTTACATTATATTATCTAGATTATAATAGTAAAAAAATCAAATTGCATTCATATGAAACTTTTATAAAAAGAAATCATATCCATTTTTATGAAAGTTTATAGTACAATTATTTTCTAATGTATCTTTTCTTAGGTCACAGTATTTAGAATTCCATTTACATCTGTATAATTTTTCAAATTAAAAAACAAAGGAAGTTAATAGAAATCTACATTTTCATTTGCAAAACTCCCTTCAGTTTCCAGGCCAGTAACACGTGGTGATGTCGGCTTGTCCTCCAGACATGGACGGCCCCCAAAGAGCCCCAGTTCACGGAGCAGGCAGGCCTCGGCTCATTAGAAATGCTTTTTGGTTTGGCTCACGTGTCAAGAAATTTTGGAGCATGTCCATGCCGTCCAGAGATCCCCCAGGTTTCAGGATCAGGTTTCTGTATTTCATTCCAACCTAATAAAATAAAGCATGCCTAATAATTCATGGTTATAGCAATTTTCCAAATCTCCAGATGCAAAAGAGAGGAAAAAAAGGGACTTTAGCTTTACTCTGGATGTTCTCCTTCCCCTAGACTACAGCTCTGTAGTATTTATTTACTTTGGTAGCTAAGAGATCTGGAGCTTAGACCTCCGGTCTTCCACACTTCCCTTTATTACTGTCTTGTGTCCTTAGACCCACAGCAGCATGCTGACAGTATAAGCAAACAGACAAACAAACAAAAAATAGCCAAATGGAAGCTCGGACAGTCTTCTATTTGCTACCCCATCTAAAATGCGATTTCGAAAGGGTTAGCAAAACAGGAGTTCAATTAGGCTACAAACAGGGATTCTGTGTACCTGGAAACAGTAGCTCAGCTATTACTGTCAAAACAGTTTCTGCCATAACTTTATGAAGGGCTCATAAAAAACACTCTTCTTCCTTATGGGCGGGGGTAAGGCCACAACCCATGTCCCATGGTGGAGGGTAGATAGTTTTGTGGGCTCAACACGAGGATGGAGGACCTTTGTAAATTTGCTGGGGACAAGGTCTAGAAGTTTAAAGCATACAACAGTTTCTCTGCCTTTATTTACACAAATACATAAGCAGACAAAGTGAAAGAAAACAACTGAAATTCAGTATCAGCATTTTTCAATATTTTCACTTCCTTTTCATTGTCCTTTTGAAATGCAAGACAATTCAATGAAGCTTATTTCTAAATCTATGTATAAAATAGCTCAGGGTTAAGACTCAAATTTATATCCATTATATCATTTGAACAGCGACTAATAGCCTCCCTGAGTACATAAATAGCTTGAGAATTTCCAGAAACAAAAGTAATCTCATTTTTGACTTATGACAATGATTCTGTTTGGTACAACCATCAGAGACGTCTAGTCAAACTGTTAAAGAAAATAAAATGTTGATAAGGGAAATCTACCAAGTTAGATGCAAAACTACTTAAAGGCCTACAAGGGTCACACACAGAAAAAAAACTTTTCAGGTTCTGATTATAAACAGAAATCATCTGAAACTTATTAATGATCTATACGCACACAGCTAACTTCACAAATGAGTCTTAACAGGAGTAAACAATTAGTGAAATGAAGTTACTTTCCATAAACTCTAGAGAGCACTGTCCAGTAGAAATATAATGTGAGCCACATATATAACTTAAAATTTTCTAGTAATCAGATTTAAAAGAGAAGAAAATAGGTAAAATAAATTTTAAAATTTTATTTAAACCAGGAGGTCTATAATAGTATCCTTTCAACATGTATCAACTATTGGGATTTATTTTTTGTGGTATGTCTTCAAAATCTAGTGTGTTTTTTACATTTACAGCACATCTCAATTCTTCAAAAGCACCGGCCACATTTCAAGACCTCAGTAGCTTTACAGGGCTGTGGCCTACTCTACAGGGCTGAGGCCTAGAATATGAGATGACTGACCCGTCGAGGGGCTTGTTAGACAATGTTCTAGTATGACACTGAAGAAGCGGTAGCAACCTTGTTGCCTTATTTATAGGTTTTGAATAAATTTTCTTAAAAAGGAGGGACCTGTAATCACTGATAATGGACTTCCTGAAAACCCTGGTAGTGACAGTTTATAGAGTTAGGTTTAATTTTCTTTAGAAAGAAAAAAAAAAGATGTGTCATTTCTTGTTTGTTCTGGAGCAATTAATTACTGTTTTAATAGTGATCTAGGACCTAAAACAGGAGTGTAACTAACTAAACCTTACCTAATCCACTGATTTAACACTGGTCAAATCTGTCAAATTTAGACACGTTGGGCAATGAAAGAAAGGGAAGGGGCAAGCTGTATTGGGCTCAAGATCTCTGATCTGCTACTTTTTAGAATAATAAAGTCTGTAATAAGGATAGCCATCACCCGTGTTTTAGGTCCTAGATCACTATTAAAACAGTAATTAATTGCTGCAGACCAAGCAAGAAATGACAAATCTTTTAAACTGTTATTACCAGGGTTTTCAGGAAGTCCATTATCAGTGATTACAGGCCCCTCCTTTTTAAGAAAATTTATTCCAAACTTGTAAATAAGGCAAGAAGGTTGCTACCACTTCTTCAGTGTCATACTAGAACATTGTCTAACAAGCCCCTCTAAGGGTCACCTTATGTTCTAGGCCCCAGACCTATAGAGTTGCCAACCACACAAGAGACAACTCTACACATGGACATCACCAGATGGTCAACACCGAAATCAGACTGATTACATTCTTTGTAGCCAAAGATGGAGAAGCTCTATACAGTCAGCAAAAACAGGACTGGGAGCTGACTGTGGCTCAGGTCATGAACTCCTTATTGTGAAATTCAGATGTAAATTGAAGAATGTAGGGAAAAACACTAGGCGATTCAGGTATGACCTAAATCAAATCCCTTACGATTCTACAGTGGAAGTGACAAATAGATTCATGGGATTAGATCTGATAAACAGAGTGCCTGAAGAATTATAGATGGAGGTCTGTGACATTGTACAAGAGGCAGTGATCAAAACCATCCCCAAGAAAAAGAAATGCAAAAAGGCAAAATGGTTGTCTGAGGAGGCCTTCCAAATAGCTGAGGAAAGAAGAGAAGCAAAAGGAAAAGGAGAAAAGGAAAGATATACCCATTTGAATGCAGGGCTCCAGAGAATAGCAAGGAGAGATGAGAGCCTTTTAAAGTGGACAAGGCAAAGAAATAGAGGAAAACAATAGAATGGGAACGACTAGAGATCTCTTCAAGAAAACAAAAGATACCAAGGGAACATTTCATGCAAATAAAGGACAGAAATGGTATGGACCTAACAGAAAGAGAAAATATTAAGAAAATGTGGGAAATATACACAGAAGAACTATATAAAAAAGATCTTAATGAGCTGGATAACCATGATGGTGTGATCACTCACCTAGAGCTAGACCTCCTGGTGTGAAATCAAGTGGGCCTTGGAAGCATCAGTACAAACAAAGCTAGTGGAGGTGATGGAATTCCAGCTGAGTTATTTCAAATCCTAAAAGATGATGCTGTGAAAGTGCTGCACTCAATATGTCAGCAAATTTGGAAAACTGAGCAGTGGCCACAAGACTGGAAAAGGTCTGTTTTCATTCCAACCCCAAATAAGGGCAATGCCAAAGAATCTTTAAACTACCACACAATTGCATTCATTTCACATGCTAGAAAAGTAACGCTCAAAATACTTCAAGTTAGGCATCCAAAGTATGTGAACTGATAACTTTCAGATGTACAAGTTGGATTTAGAAAAGGCAGAGGAACCAGAGATCAAATTGCCAACATCCGTTGGATCAACAAAAAGCTAGTGAATTCCAGAAAAACATCTACTTCTGCTTAAAGCCTTTGACTGTGCCGATAACAACAAACTGTGGAAAATTCTTTAAGAGACAGGAATACCAGACCACCTTACCTGCCTCCTGTGAAACCTGTATGCAGGTCAAGAAGTAAAAGTTAGAACTGGACATGGGACAACAGACTGGTTCCAAATTGGGAAATGAGTATGTCAAGGCTGTATATTGTCACCCTGCTTATTTAACTTATAGGCACAGTACACCATGCGAAATGCTGGGCTGGGTGAAGCACAAGCTGGAATCAAGGCTGCCGGGGGAAATATTAATAACCTCAGATATGCAGATGACACCATCCTTATGGAGGAAAGCAAAGAGGAATTAAAGAGCTTCTTGATGAAAGTGAAATAGGAGAGTGAAAAAACCTCAACATTCAAAAAACGAGGATCATGGCATCCGATCCCATCACTTCATGGCAAATAGATGGAGAAACAATGCAAACGGTGACACTATTTTCTTGGGCTCCAAAATCACTTCGGATGGTGACTGCAATCATGAAATTAAAAGATATTTGCTCCTTGGAAGAAAAGAAATTATAAACCTAGACAGTGTATTTAAAAGGAAAAACATTACTTTGCCTATAAAGGTCCGTATGGTCAAAGCTATGGTTTTTCCAGTAGTCATGTACGGACGTGAGAGCTGAAAAATAAAAAAGGCTGAGCACCAAAGAATTGATGCCTTTGAACTGTGGTACTAGAGAAGACTCCTGAGAGTTCCCTGGACAGCAAAGAGATCAAACCAATCAATCCTAAAGGAAATCAACTCTGAATATTCACAAGAAGGACTGATGATGAAGCTGAAGCTCCAAAACTTTGGCCACCTGATGCAAGGAACTGACTCACTGGAAAAGAACCAGATGCTGGGAAAGACTGAAGGCAGGGGAGAAGGGAACAGAGGATGAGGTGGTTGGATGGCATCACTGACTCAAAGGACCTGAGTCTGAGCAAACTCTGGGAGATGGTGAAGGACAGGGAAGCCTGGTGTGCTGCAGTCCATGGGGGTCACAAAATGTTGGACACAACTGAGCAAGTGAACAACAACAAATCCGTAGGCAGGGGTTGAGTTGGGGAAGGAAGGGCTGTTCTCCCTGGGTGAAGCAGTATAGAAACTTAGAAAATGTGAATTAAATTGATCTGAACATAAAAATAATTTAAGCCATTTATTATGGAAATATTTTCAATACATAGTAATCATCGAGACAAGAGGATAGTCAACCCTCTTGAACCTATCATGCAGCCTCAATTACTAGTATTTACCTGCAGAAATTCTTAATGCTCAAGATCTGAGAGTCTTTTAAAAGGGCGTATTTCATTGCACAACCATAGGAAAAATAATGAAAATTTTAAAGTTAAAAAAAAATCGCCAAAATGTGGACGTCTGCCAGAACAGCACCGAGAGCTGTAACTGCGGATAGTGAAGAACAGCGAGGCTGAGGGGGCTGCACACCGCTGTGAAGAGCCGGTTCTCATCTCCCTTGCCGGTAAAGTCACTATACAGCTGGGCGCTGTTTAGTCTCACAGTACGTGGCTCAGAGCAGCACAGGTCCTCCCCTGCTTACAGCTCCATACGACTTGATTCAATTTCCTGAATTACAGAGCAATGGCCTCTTAATAGTTTCATTTCC